AGACGGCGCTCAGCTTTGGGCTTTGGGCTTGGGTCTGGAGCTGGAGCTGGAGCCGGAGCTGGGGAGGTTGACGTTGACTTTGGGTGCCGCTGCTTAGCGGCCACTTGTAATATTTTTGGGCATCTACTAATTGCAATTTGATGTTTCGGTTCGCTTTTCTTCGAAAATATAGTTGTACACACACACACAGACGCACACACACAATTTGGTGTGCTGCACTTAGCGGCAGCGTGTGAAAACTTAACGAACGATGCAGCAGCCTGCAGCTCTGTGATCAGCAACAGATCCCTAACAAATCTTTTCATGTCGAGGTGCGAACACTCTCTCTCCCTCTCTCTCTCTCTCTCTCTCTCTCTCTCACTCGCTCTCTATCTCTCTGTCTATCTGCCTGGTTTTGTACAACCTGTGCGTGTTTTTTAGAGGCGGCTTCGGCTTTTTGCTTATGGTGCTAATTGATTGGTGCCAAAGTTGTATAAAAATTGGAACAGCACTGTGGCCTCTAGGTGAGAGTTTCGGCTACGCCTTGATTGCATTTGAGCAGCGTTTAAATTACGTTGTTTTATTTGCGCATTCATTAGCATGCGGAACCGCTTTTGTTGTGCTTGCTCTTATTACTTCATTCCCATCCCCAAGCATGCCGAAAATTTATATAATATAGTTTAAATATTTAACTTGCAATTTTTTCATCGCTCGAAATAAACTGAAACTAAACTTTTTGATTGCAGCGCCAGCTCCAGCAGCCACCAGCATCCACATGGCAGTTCGTTTCGTGCCCCGAAAAGTCACGAAATCTCAGCAAAAAAAAATCAAAACACACACAAAATAATAAAGGAAAAAGCGCCCAAAAAATAAGAAAAGAAATGAGAAAAAAAGTGATTGATGGAAATTGCTCAAACTGTCATGTTTATGAACGTCCGCAGGATACGAAGCCGACAGAGAGGATTGTGGCTAAAATGTGCACGCAATACGACAGCAATTTGCAAACAGAAAGGCGCAGTTCGAGTACTTGCGGCGCACACCGGCGCCCAAATGCTCTAATTGTAAAGGTGAGTTGTAAAGTAAAATGCATGCATTTTCAGCAACATTTCTTATAAACCATAACAAATTTTAGAAGGGCAAGTGGGAGAAAGGGTAGGCATAAACCGCACATCATATGCTCTATAAAATAAAGATATATATATATTCATATTCATACCTCTTATTTCGACGAAATAATTCAATGGACTGCAAATCTTGGGCATTTCTATAAGTAGCCTTTTTCCCCCCATATCTTACATAAGGAAGGGTATTCGGCAGTGTGCTCTGTGCCATTTGGCTGCTGTCTTTTGAGATTTTGACTAATTTTCACTCACTCTGCTTGCCAAGTTGTCAAGTTCTGTATTCTTTTATTGTAGCTGTTGCTGTGTCGGCCGTTGCTCTGAGCCACACACAGCGCCAGGTATGCTGGGCGTGTGTTGCGTGTTTGTGTCAAGGTGTTGCAACAGTTATCGAAATTGTTGTACTTTTGCTGGCCGCTTGGTCTTGCGGCCTGGGGGCCAGAGTGAATTTCGAAAATTCATTGAACAATGCGTGTAGCTGACATTTGATGCGCTGTGACACTAACTGCGCCAAGTTCGTTGCCTAAGTCTTTCGTTTCGCAATAAGAAATTGCACACAGTAAAGATTACACGAAACTAGACAGGCGAATTTTACTTGCAACTGGAATGCAGCAGAGCAAGTGCAATGATCTATGAGCCGGACTTAGTGGCCAGTGGCCGGCGGTGGTGTGGCTGCCACCGCTGCCGCCGCTGCTGCTGCTGCTGCTGCCACCAATCACTGCAGCCAATCGCCGTTGCAAGTGTGCTAAATCGCGGCCATGCAAAACATGCTGGCCAAGGCTTAATTATGCACTCGCAGTGTTTGCTGCTAGCAGCTAGCACTTGCAGCTGGAGACGCCGCCATACTTAGAACAGACCAGCGAGCCGCCCGACTGCCGCCCGAGACCGCCGCCCGTCCAGCTGCTGGCAGCCAACCAACCAACGTTCGCATCAGCAGCTTTAATCCAACGTGCGGCCATTTTTATGTGCGCCATCATGTTGCCTCCCATAATTTTATGCTTCATCAATGACAGTGCGGCAGATGTGCCTGATGTGTCTGTGGCAAGGCTGCTGAGTAGCTAGACAACAGCTAACAGAAGCCGCTGTGGCAATCAGAATGTGGCAGCTCTCCCTCTCTCCCTGTCTCCCTATCTCCCTGTCTCACTCTCGCTCACTCACACACTCTGAATTGCATCCTTTGTGACGCATGCTTTCAACATACTTTATCCTGGCAATCAGCTGCCATTTTTGCTCCAACGCTGCTGCTGCTGCTGCGGCTGCTGCACTTGCAACACAGCGGCAAGACTCAAATTGTTTTCGTGGTAATTTGCACCCGAGGCGATTTAAATTCCTTGCCGCTTGCCTGCGCTAGCTAAACAGGCGCAACGTCAACCCAACGTCGTTGTTGTTGTTGTTGTTGTTGCTGTTGTCGTTGTCGTGTTGCTTGTTGTAAGCTCCCTTCTGTCCCTGTCCCTGTTTCTGTCTCTGTCTCTGTCGCTGTTGTTCATCATCTTCATCTTGGGCTTTGACAGCTGTTGGCTGCTTCGCATGACTGCCGCTGCCCGCCGACTCCTTACCTTTGCACCAGCCCATCCGGATGTGTCGTTTTTTATTATTTAGAACTTTTTTAATGCTGCCCTCTTATTTTTACGTTTTTGTTTCGCCCAGGCCCTGTGCAACATCGTGTACTTGCGCTGCACTCGCCATGGCTGATTATTGTTATTAGCCAGTATAGATATTCATCCAGTGCCTGCTTATTTGGCTGCGAGCGTTTTGCTAATCTGCCATCAAAATCGATGGTTGGGATTGTTGTGGCTGCTGCTTTTGTGGCTGCTTTTGTGGCTGCTGCTGCTGCTGTTGTGGCTGCCTTTAAAAGTCGTGTGTGGAAGACACTTAGAGAGTCACATGTGATCACATTTTGATGAAGCATTCGTTGTTTTTCTTTTTTTCTAGACTGGTTTCAAATTGAAACTGCGCGCGCGGCACCATAAAGACCTAAAAGCGCACAATCCAATGGCTGTCATAAAACCCATTAAGAGATCTTGACCAATTTACATATGTAGATTTTCAAAATGGCTGCGATAACAGTTAGCTCTCAGCTCTCAGATGCTGCTTCTTATACTTTGCCAGCTTTCACAGCTGCCTGGCTGCAAATAATGATTGAAGATTGATCTGGTCGACAGCTGCGCTCTGTCTGATTGGCCCAGTACGGGTTTTTTTTCTTTCGTTTTTTGGGACAGCCCAATTTGGCGGCCGTTTCGGAAGTGAGCCGCCCCTTTCATGCACCGCTCTGAGTGCAATTTCGCTCATCATCTTAATTTTATTATCGACATAAATATCAAACGAAAATTGTGGCATAAAATGCGATCGATACAAATCTGGTTACAAGTACGGACCAGAGGTGAATCGCCCCGCTGCATAGTTCACCACTTCATTCAGGGCGCTGCACCTGAGACCTGCGACGTCTTCGTCTTCGTCTTCGCCTTGGCCGTGGTCGCGGTCGTGGTCGCGATCGTGGTCGCTGTTGCCCTGTGAAGGACATTATGGAAATGATGTCCGCGGGCGCTTGCTGGCCATTACTCAGTCGCAGCGCCTGGCAACGCCCAATTGATCAATGCGTGGCGATAGGCAGCGACTGCAGCAGCGACGGCAACGGCGACGGCAACGGCGACTGCGATTGCCAGGCCACACTTGGCTCCGTCTGTTGCTGGCAATTTATGCCTGGCCTGGTGGAAATTCAATTGCGCTGCATGGAGGCTGCTGCTGCTGCTGCTCGGGTTAAGCAGCTCAAATAGTTGGCATCTCACATGTGCCACGCCCATTTCTTACACTATCAGTCATAAAAATGTTAAATTTATGCAATTGCTGCTGCCGCTGCCGCTGCAGCTGAAATGATTGCTGATCCGCATGGCGTGCAACAACAGAATAACTGAAAACTGGCGCACACCCACCGCGTCTATGCACACCTAGCACCACCAGACGCTGGCCATATAATACCTGCAGCTGGAGCACCACCTCCAACCCCACCTCGGCTGGTAGTCTGATATTGACGCTGCCAGCGCACGGGACGCGCATGCGTTTTGCGCGTAAATTGCTCTGCGGCTCGAACTGAACCGTCACCACCCGTCTCCATCTTCAACTCCATTCGCGTCAGCGTCGCCAACTCGATTACCGCCACGGCCTGTCCGCCAGCTATGCATATTCAATATACCCCACATGACATGTGCCGAGAGGGGTATATTCACTAATTATTCCCTGAACCCACTAAAAATGGGTAAAAAGGGTATATTGTACTTGTGCAAGGACATCAGAACCTATAAGAGCCACATTTAAATTGTGGCTTAAATTGGTTGGCAATACAAGTTGGGTTATTAACTTGATTTATAGTGATTTATAATGAAAGATACTTGATATATATATATATAGTATTCTAGAAGCTACATGTCAAGTATGTTGACTATAGCTCTTATTATTTAACAAATTTGCTCAAATATAGGACTTCAATATCGATTTTTGTCGATTTCTTGGAAACGGGTGAAGTTATTGAATATCGGAAAGAAGCTCGTTCTGCGCGGGCACTAGGAGGACCCACATTCAAAATTTCAATTCTCTAGCTCTTATAGGTTCTGAGATCCCTGCGTTTATACATACGGACAGACGGACAGACATACAGACAGACATGGCTAGATCAACTCGGCTTGTGATGCTGATCAAGAATATATATACTTTTTGGGGTCGAAGATGTTTCATTCTGCCTGTTACATTTGCATAAACACATTATACCGATTTTAGCCATTTTCAATCGGTTCAGGGTATAAAATTGAACACCCAGTAATATTTATAGCACATAAAACTGTCAGATTGTCAGGCCGGAACCTGTGTTAATAATTTTAATTGCTGTCAAGGTTAATGGCTATAGCCCACAAAACGAATGGGACTCATGACAAAATCAGCATATATAAATCATCTGACTGCAGATACAACCATCATCAAACGCCATCGAAAATGTATACGGGTCTGCTGCTTTCGCTCTCCGTGGCATGGATATTGCTTCTATTGCACGTAGATGGCTGTGCTGGCAAGGTAAGCGATGCAGAGTATAATACAGAAAAGGATATTCCGCCAAATGCCAACTGATCCCGTTTGCAGCGTAATTGGGAATACCAACCAATCTCCATTTCTGCCAGAACGTCGGATGCATCGAAATTGGAGATTGAGGCAGACGTTCAAATTATAGGACGGGACTATTGGGTTATTTCGGGCAAACTGATATCAAACACCGATATGAACGATACAATTATGGTGAGTGCTCCAATATGAAAGTGATCTCTAAATGTAATGAATTGTAAGTGCGATTTCTATTTATCCACCAGGTGGAGGGTACGGGTTATCGGAGCTCTTCGGGTGCCGAAGACGATTACAAGCTTTTGCCCTACCACATACCGAAGCAGACATTTAAACAGTTTGCCGATAACCATTACAAGAAGATTGTCTACAAGAATTTGAAGCACTGCTCGAATATACCCGAACCCGAGAATGTATATCCCTGGCCCAAAGGCACCTACATTTTCAAAAGGTGCATTGCGACTGGCGATGGATTTCCCGAACTGCTGCTCGAGGGCTACTACAAGATCAACTTCGACATCACCGGAGACGTCGAGGCTGGCGTAACAATTATTGTATTGCTGACCAATCCTTCTCGTTATTTTGGTTAACCCCAAAGACAACCGACGGGTCATGGCATAAAAAAAACAATATTGAGTACTTTATATGAATGATAATCAAAAGAATTAGATTAGCTTTAACAGTATATATCCGTATCTATCCGAGTGGTTCCAAGAAAACACAAGCTATAATCAATATACAACAACTCTGCAATTTGAATGTTCTTTCAACTTTTTTGATGATAATAGCTGGGGGTTCCCAAAAGGCAACTAGAGTTTTCTGTTAACATTGCTGATAATTATTTAATTAATTATTTAAAATAGAAACTGGTTTAGTATTTTTAGTTGCATACAGATTATGTTCCTTTTGTTAAGGAGGTTGCCGGTTCGAATCCTAGACTGGTGAACGGAAGTGTTCATATGAGTCAACATAGTTAATAATTATCTAAATATCATATATGACATATGCAATAGGTCTGCATAAGAATTATATTCTCTTTGTATTTATTTTTTTTTTTAAAGGAGGTTGCTGGTTCGAAGCCCCGTTTAGAAGGAGACATCTCCGACTCCAAAAAGTATATATATTCTATTTTCGGTTTGTGTGGGATGGGGGGGGGGGGGGGGGAAGGTCTGGTTAAAAGGCGTGCGGTACAACACTGTGGCACATCATTCAATTGGTTTTATTTTTATACCCTGAACCCATTGAAAATGGGTAAAAAGGGTATAATGTATTTGTGCAAATGTATGTAACAGGCAGAAGGAAGCATCACTGACCCCATAAAGTATATATATTCCTGATCAGCATCAACAGCCGAGTCGATTTAGCCATGTCCGTCTGTCTGTCCGTCTGTCCGTCCGTCCGTCTGTCCGTCTGTCTGTCTGTATTGTGAACGCAAGAATCTCAGAACCTATAAGAGCTAGAGACTTAAAATTTTAGCTGTAGGTCCTCCTAGTGCCTGCGCAGATCGAGTTTATTTCCGATAATCGATAACTTACTCCGTTGCCAAACAATCGATAAAAATCGATATCGACATCCTGTTTTTTGAACAAATTATGTAAATATTAAGAGCTAGAGTCACCAATTTTCATATTTTGCTTCTAGAATATTATATATATATCAAGTATCTCTTAATTTATACCCATCGCCACCTCCCCGCTACCACCGCAGAGCTATAAATCAAGTTAATAGCCCAACTTATATTGCCCACCAATTTAAACCACAATTATAATGCAATTGACTTTTTGAGAATACACAAATATTCTATGGTACAATAAGATATACTGTAGAAAATTTCATAAAGATCGGTTAAGAAAAAACCAAAGTTATATGTAACTGCGCAATTGGATGGATGCGAGTTCGAACTCTGCCAAGGGAACTTTTTTTACTTTAATTTATTTGGTGTTGGAATGAGAGGGTTCAGGGTATTCCCTAGTCGGGAGCTCCCATCTAGAACCTCTTACTTGTTTTTAGACTGTAGAGCTAAAATATTAAAAAATTAAATACTACGTGAAGTTTTATAGGAGAGCAAGTGAACAAGATTTTCTCTTATAATTCCCAGGTAGTTTAAGTATAGACTGAATGCCTAGGCTTGTTGGTCCGAGTTTGACTTTGAGTAAAGCAGTCTTGCAGGTTCCAGCGTTAAAAATACTTTTATTAAACTGTTTTCTCTAAAAACCTGAAGATATAGATATTAATTAAAATGAAAATAAATATAATAAAGGTAAAGCAATAATTCAAGTGCTGTAGATTATAAAAGAGCACATCATATTTCATGCTTAAAATCTTTATGCAAGATCTTTTGCATTTTTCAATTTCCAATACGTTTTACTAGGTATCTGTCTAGTCGCGCTGCATCCGCTAAGCCAGCATTTTAACCAAAATGTCCGCATACAAATTGATTTCATTTCGTTTGTAATGTCGCCGACACGCGTGTGTGGCAATCGTAGATTGTGGTTTGTTGGATTTCGTTTCTGTTTCTAAACATTTATTTATGCCCCGTAATTGTTATACTTTGCTCGCATATCAGATGACACCCGAGTGTCGGGCCGGGCCATGCATTTGCATTCGGAATGCGTTCACGTCCGCCGTCTAATGGCAAATAAATAAAATTGTCCCAACGTTGACACGCAACTGATGGGCGCAAGCTGCGACGAGGGGTGGCCCAGCCATGGGATCAGTGCTGCCCACACGCAGGATCGCAAATCTGGCAAATGGCAAAGAGAGCAACAAATTGAATGATGCAAAGTTGCGGCAACCAGATTGACGGCCTGCAGTTGCAGTTGCAGTTGCCATGGCAGTTGCTGCTGCTGCTGCTGCCTGTCTCGCTCCTCCTCATCGACGTCGTCGTAGTCGTCGTCGTCATCGTCATCGTCATCATCAGTCAACCAATTTGTTTCGATGAATGACTGAATGAATTTGTTCACCCCTTGGTCATCTTGATAGGCGCGCAAGCGTTCGGACTTGGACCAACCCAAACCAACTCACTCAACTTGCAGTCGCGGCAACAACAACAGCAACAACAACAACAACAACAACAGCCGAGAGGCAGTGGCAACAGGTTCTTCGCTTGTCGAAACGCAAACGCAGTTTGTTAAACTGCAGCAAGAACAAGCAAAAGACAACGACAAGGAGCAAGACCTGTGTCGTTGGAGGAGGAGCAGCAGCAGCAGCAGGAGCAGGAGCAGGAGCACCATGATCGAAGCGCGGCACTTTGCATAGAAGCGTTTTGGCAGCATTCGCGATTGCGATCAGCGTTCAATCCGCGCTTTGGTATGGGTATGGGTATGGCTATTGATGTTGTTATTGGTATAGGTATTGGTATTGGTATCGGTGCAGGCAATTGCTGCGAGCAGAACAAGCCAAATGCCAAGCACCGAAAAACACAAAGTAGGCTGGACGAGGCCACCGATCGTGGCACACACACACACACACAGCTTGCCAGAGGAGTAGCCGCTGCTTGTGCTGCTGCCAGATAAGAGCAGCGACATTGTCGACGCATTGGAATCGCTCGTTAGTCGTCGAGAAAGAGGGACAGCGGAACAGCATTCTGGTAGCCCGTCATCCGTCAAGCGGCGTAGTCAAGTAGAAAGTGCTGCTGCTGATGCTGCTGCAGTTGCTGCCACATCAGCTGCAACAGTTGCTGCTGCTGTTGATTTTTGCTTTGCCTTTTTGCTAAATGCCAATGTCGTTTTACCGACGGCAAAACGTTGCAGCTGCCGCCATTTTGCCGGTGTCTCCGCCTCAGTGGCAGACCAAGACACTCATAATCACATACACAAACACTCACAGCACTCGCACACACACACAGCCAGCTTATTCGCATGTAATTGAAGTCGTTTATGGGAACAGCCGCTGCAGTAGCCGCATTGTCGAGGGCTGCGGGGAAATTGGCAATGGGAACGCAGAACCGCAACCGACAGACGGCAGACGGCAGCCGGCAGCCAGTCGGCCATCATCATTGAGGCCGCCAATGAAAAGCATGTGGCAACATCATTAACTCTTTTTTTGCTGCCACTCTGAAGCTCCGGCCACCGAAGCCACCAAATTGCCATTGCCACAATTTTTGTATATATTTTTTTTTTCTTGCTTAATTTTGTTTTTTTTTTTGGTGAGAGAAAGTAATTGGCACTTGTTCACAAAATGGCGCCAGCTACGAAAAAGCGACCATTTTGAAGAAGCCACAGACAGGCATAACTGTTCTCAGTGGTGGTGGTGCGGCTGCTGCTGCTGGTGGTGCCATAATGACACATGACACTTGGGCCACATTTAAATATGAATGCAGAGGCGGAGACGGAGACGCCAGACGCAGACGTAGATGGATATGTAGCTGAGCAGCCAGAGGCGAGTGACGATCGCTACCAAGTGCCAGAGACCAAGTGCCCAAAGCCCAAGGCCCAGAGCCCAGGCCCAGGTTCAGGCCCAACCCCTGCCGAGGCGACAGCGCGTTCGGCTCTTTTCGCATAAATTCACAGCGGGAGTTCCCTCTATGCGATTGAATACGTTTCCCACTCTCTCGTTCTCTCTCTCTCTCTCTCCAGTCTCAAGATACAGTCATTTGTTGTGATGGAGATGTGATTGGAGAAGTTTCATATTTTGTTTCAGTTTCGAAAACAGTGAAAAAAATGTTAATATTAATAAAAAAATATTAATAATAATAACAATAATATGAGAGCTCTCATGATGTCTTAATCTGCGGCCATTAATATGCCCGATAAATAAACTGTATTAATTTATGCGCATTTTTGTTCAAAGTGGAAACACAGCACGGCCAATTGAATTGACCATATCCAAAGTTGATTAACGCGTTGTTCATTTTTAATGTTGATGATGTTGTCTCTCGATCAAATATATATATGTAAATTTCTCTCTCTCTCTCTCGCCTCATCCTCTTGCTCTCTAGCGCTGCGCTAGCTAAGCGGGCGCCGGACGCCGTTCAATGGCTGCATTCTCAATGAAATTTGATGATCGCTTTGGTAACCAAATACCGCAAAAAATAAAAATGAGGCCACAAACAAAAAAATAAGGCGAAAAATACCCAGAAGTGCGCAGCAATATTCTCAGCTCTGAGCTACGTTTAGTTGGCAAACATAGCGACAGGAGTTGAGATACGAAAAAATAAAAAAAAAAGAAGCTTGCCACATCCTTAGCGGCACGTCATGTGGTGCGGCTGCCGCTGCTGCTGGTGCTGGTGCTGGTGCTGGTGGTGCAAGGTGTTGGCCAAAATCCCAGCCACATAGCCACAACCGCAACCACAATCTCAAGCAGCGAATGCATTTGTCGCAACGCATCAGCTTGTGTCTTATGCGAATTTTAAACGCTTCTGACGCTTTACAATTGGACGCACGCGGCACAAACTACGTGCGGCATGTTGCAACTGGCAACTGGCAACCGGCAACTGGCAAGTGGCAAGTATTGAAATGCATTTCACTTCATTTCATTTCAAGCAGAATGACTTTAATTAAACGAATCTCATGTTTACTTAATGTTTCTGTATTTTCGAAGATTTTTCATATTTCAAATGCGCCTCATCATGTTTCAGTTGAAATTACAATTTCTTCGACTTCTTCTTGACTTTTTGGCTGCCACTTGACTTCGGTTCGGCTGCCACACACCTCGTTTTTGGGCAGCCCGAAATGTCAGTGCAGCTGCTTAGCTGTCGTACGTTGGTCTATTTATGCCCAGTACCTTATAAAGAAGGGTAAATAGGGTATACTAGAATG